GGCAGGAGCTGCGGGGAACGGGCGCGGGGTCCGTGCGGTGCCGCTCGTGTAACAATGCCCCGCGCAGGCACAGCGGTGCAGGGTGGCTTTTGCCCCGCAGGGTTTTGGTGTTCCCAGTTGTGCTGGTTTGGGCTGAAGCAGAGTTAACTTTCTTCACGGTGGTTAGTATGGGGCTATATTACCTGCTTCAGCCCAAACCGGCACAGCAGTGTTGGGATGACCCTTTAGGGAAACAGTGTATCCGCTGACTGTTCCTGCCAGAACAATCTTGTTACCTATCTGCCAGCTCCCTTCTTTTCTGAGCTAGGCAGAAATGAAAAGTGAACCTCATAAAATTGCTTAATCGTAAAAGCACCGAAGAAGAATTGTTGTCCTGTGACTGTGATTTTCTCACATTTCACTGAAAAGCTTTGCTCTGGTTGTGCTGTCGTTTAGGTCATTATGGACCAAAATCAGAAAAAGAAAAAAGAGGAAAAAAAGTTTAAAAGCCATAGTTGGTGTTATTTTCTAACATGTAGTGCTGTTTGAACACATAGCAGCTGTAAAATCTCTCAGAAACTATACATGGCACAACCCAAGATTTTGTTTTATAGTGGCTCTTATCATACAAACTGCAGCTCCCTCTCAGTCCCTGCATACATCTAGCACTTCCATGGAGGTAATTGGGGTCAGTATGCTGATCAGTACATCAAAATTTTATTTAAAGAGCGTACAGCACTGCTGGTAATGTTCAGGGCTCTGCAGATCACACACGTCTCGAGAAATATGTGTGGTACAGATGAGTGAAATATTTCTCTTTATATGGAGTAGCTGTAAATACAAAACAAAAGACAGTTTAGGTCACATGATTATAAATGGAAGTTCTCTTGTTTCTTCTGCCGTTTTTTTCCCCCCATGATACTACTGTTTCCCTGAATGTCTTTTCACAAAGTCACTGAATCAGTAAGACTGGAAAAGACCTCTGAGACTGTAGAGTCCAGCCTATGACCTAACACCACCAAGTCAACCAGACCATGGCATTAAGTGCCATGTCCAACCTTTGCTTAAATGCCTCTGGGGACAGTGACTCCACCACCTCCCTGGACAGCATGTTCCCACATCTAGTCACCCTTTTTGTGAAGAAATTCTTCCTAATGTCCAACCTAAAGCTCTCCTGGCACAGCTTAAGACTATGTGCTTTTGTCCTGTTGCTAGTTGCCTGGGAGAAGGGGCCAACTGCCACTTGGCTATCACCTCCTTTCAGGTAGTTGTAGACAGTGATAAGGTCACACCTGAGCTTTCTCTTCTGCAGGCTAAGCAACTCCAGCTCCCTCAGCCACTCCTCATAAGGCTAACTCTCCAGACCTTTCACCAGCTTTGTTGCACTTCTCTGGACACACTCCAGCACCTCAATTGCCTTCTTGAGGTGAGGGGCCCAGGTACTTGAGGTGTCTCTGTTAGGATTCTAGTGCTCACATAGCTTTGCTGCTGTGCTTCAGCACATTTGTTGCTTTCACCAATGGCTTATTACCATCCCAATAGTGCTCATTTGAGATGTATGTTTCTCAGCACACCAAGCAGGAGTTTCTGGTGGCTGTTGCAATGGAGAGATGGGAGGCAGCTTGATGCAAGCAAGATGTCAGTTTATTGTTGTTTTCCACAAATACTTCTAGTTTTCTTGGCTTAGCGTGTTCTCTGCCAATTGGCTTATTCTATACGTTAGGTGTGCCCCAATTGGTTAACCTAAGGCACAACAATCTGTTACATGTCTTCTACCCCAGTAACATCCCAGCAACTTCCTAACTCGTGGCTGGTGAGCCAGCACGCAGGTGCTTTCTGTTCAAGGTTCCCATCTCCTCACCTACTCCTCCCAAGGCCTTCGGGCACCAAGTCCTAACACATCCCCTGACTAGCCCAGACATGCTGGAACCTTGCTGAGAGCAGCCAGACCACTCCCCACAGTGGCTTGTGGATAAATAGGCATAACCTCAAGGAGCCTTGAAGAATTACAAAGTTTGTTGAGAACCTGGGCCCTCCTTAGTCATTCATTAATGCAGATGTGCACAGAGAACGGAATGGGGTTTGTTTAGATCTGCCAGATGCAGGTTTGTGTGTGTGTGTGACCATCCCTGACCAGTGTACTCCAGACAAATGCCACATGACTCCTGGGAGGCAGCAGGATCTGTCGCATTCAGGGAACTCCTTGGCTTAAGGCTTTTGGGCCAAGAGGCTGCTGGTTATGGCATAAAGTAGCCATGCAACACAAATAATTTCTTTGCCTATATTTCAGTTTGCATATAGAGAATAACCAGTTAGTGCCACATTTTGTTCGGTTTTAACTTGTTGGAGGTTTAGGGGGAAAATGAAGACACTCAGGCTCTTCAAGTAATCTACAGAAATTTCCTAATATTTGAGTATCCAAATCTAATGGAACTATTAATTTAATATCCAGGGAACTACAGGATGGTCAGTCCCAACTTAGTGCCTAGCAAGATCCTCCTGGATGCTGTGCTGAAGGACATGGAAAATAATCAGGTTATTCATGATAACCAGCATGGCTACACTAAGGGCAAATCATGCCTGACACATTTGGTGGCCTCCTACAGCAGGGCTACAGCAGTGGTGGATGAGGGCAGGGCAACATGTTATCTATGTGAACTTGTGCAGCACATTTGACCACATGACATCCTCGTTTCTAAACTCGAGAGACATGGATTTGATAGATGGATCACTCACTGGATAAGGAACAGTCGCACTCACAGAGTGAAGGTTCTGGGGAGACCTTATTGTGGCCTTCTGGTATCCTACAAGAGAGCTGGAGAAGGGCTTTCCACCAGGGCATGTATTGATGGGACAAAGAGGAATAAGCTTAAGCTGAAAGAGGGTAGGTTTAGATTAGATGTGAGGAAGAAGGTGTTTACTGTGACAATGGTGAGGCACAGGAACAGGTTGCCCAAGGCTCCCTGGAGCTGTTTAAGACCAGACTGGATGGGACTCTTAGTAACCTGGTCTAGTGAAAGTTGTCCCTGCAGGGGGGTTGGAAGTAGATGGTCTTTAAGGTCCCTTCTGACCCAAGGCATTCTATGATTCTGTCATTCTATCCGTGCTTTCAGCTAAAGCTAACTGAAGGGGTATGGTAGGAATGTAGCTGTTTTAACATAAAATAGATGTTCTTACAGCTTTTCACAAAAACATACTGCTAGTGTGTTTGGACTATGTGCTTGGAGCTTCCAAGTTAAGGCAAGTGCAAGAGATTTAAGGTACTATTCCATCTCAGGATGCATAATGTATATGTGAGGTCACTCAAAAACATATGCATTGTTAGAATTCTCCAGATGTGTTACCTTCCCTTACAAATATCCCCCAAACAACTAGAAGTTTAGAATTTATCAGCTGTGTATGTGCTTTATTATTTGGATTGTGTTTTCCTGCAGAAGTAAAATATTAATCCTGAGCTCTTCTGAGACACAAGTCAATCATCCTCATGTCCAGTTGTTGACTTTGGTATCAAATTTAAACTTTTTTTATTCTAATTGTTTTTTTCCATTCCTCAGTATTAAACATCTGTTCATGCTTTTCAGCTTCCCATCACCAATATTTCTTGGAATTGGACAGGTATGTTCACAAGTAATCATTCTAAAAGTATTAATTGTAAGTTAAACTAATGATAATAGAGGTAGATTGTAGGGGGCCGAAATCCTGGTTAAACTGAACTGCCTGTCCTCTGGATTAGATTCTCTATAAGGAACTGTAATTTATTTTATTGACATCAGGGAAATTTAAGCTCAAGTCACAGCTATTGCCTGGAAAGAGTCATGTAAAGGACTGGAAATGCCATTTATTTCCCCTTGTAATGTTCACTAATTAAGAAATCTGGCCTTCAAAACCATCAAGGTTTGTTATAGCAAGTGCACAGATCCTCTGAGAGTCCTTGAGCATTTGTGGATTACATGCAGAAATACTGCCCCTATTTGTAGGCAAACTGTGTATTTCCTCATAAATGTCTCTCCCATTTCCTAGCAGTTTTCCAGTAGGACCAGTGGAAAATTTTGATTGCTTGTTGCTTTATTTGCCTGTGGGCAAGTCACAGTACTGCTTGTTATAGCAAGTGCACAGATCCTCTGAGAGTCCTTGAGCATTTGTGGATTACATGCAGAAATACTGCCCCTATTTGTAGGCAAACTGTGTATTTCCTCATAAATGTCTCTCCCATTTCCTAGCAGTTTTCCAGTAGGACCAGTGGAAAATTTTGATTGCTTGTTGCTTTATTTGCCTGTGGGCAAGTCACAGTACTGCACTGCAAGTAAGCCAAAAGTTCAAATGTTTGCATACATGGGCAAGAAAGTACAGTGTTAGACTCTGTAGAGAGATCACAGGAAAAATGGAGTCTGGAACCTTAGAGAAAATAATTTTAAAGAGGATTTGCATTCTGCCAAGGTTACAAGCCAGGGGGTAGTGAGGAAGAGGTGGAAACAGAATACTGCAAGTCTGACATCTCTGCTGTTTGGTGCTGTAGTGGCTAAAATGTCTTGTAAAGCCTTTGTGTGTGAGGGGAAGAGCTTTACACATCCAAACTGCTCAGCGAACCACAGATTATGTTTCAGTGGAAGATTAGAAAATGTAGCAATAATTCATTCAATGCTATTGCTTTTTTTCTTTGCTGAACCTAAGACTTAGTGGCATTTCCCTGTTTTTTTGACTGACCTTTCCAAGATTTCTCTGAACTCTTTGTGAAGTGCATATCATATGGTGTAATGTTTTAGTCTGCAAAATATGACTCCACCTCATCCTCTAGATAATCCGTTATTGTATTTTTGTATGAGGAAAAATTTGCCCTTTTTTGCCCTCCTGGGGTCAGAATTAGCTTTTGTGATGTGTGACTCTTCTTCATTCTGTCTCTACCTTTATTGTTTCTTCCTCATGTTGTCAATGGACCGATCAATGCATGTCTCTTGCGCTACCAAAAAAATTCTGTAGGAGTGATTTCTGCAGCCAAAACTACTCTCTGAGTGCAAATGGCATAGTTAATCTGGGATTGTGTACTGTCTTATTTTCTTAGCACACACTGTTTCACAGAGTGCCACCGATTTTCTTCAAGATTGTAAAGTGTATGTGTGTATTGTGCTTCTAAATAAATAGGTGGTCAATTGATAAGAATAAAGTTATTTCAGTTTATTAATTGCATGCTGTGTTGTTCTTTGATGGAAATACGTAATACCTAGCATTTGTCAAATGCATGTGAAGGTTTTGTCTTTCAAACAGTTCTTTTATTCACACATTACAATTTTGCTCTTACATGACTTCTTGTTTGTTTTGTTTTTTTGTTTTGTTTAGATGGCAGCCACTATACTTATCTTGTATGTGTCAAAATTAAATAAGATTGTTCACTTCCCTGATTTTGACAAAAGTATACCTGTGAAGGTAAGGATTACATAGCTCCTGATATTAGTGGGAAAGTTAACTTCTTATAGTGGCATTCTTTCTTATGGAGACAAGTAAAAATTTTGCATTTGTTTGTCAAATTTGGAGTTGTTAGTTTGTCAAATGTAATTATTTGTATCTTTGTTTCATTTAATACTGGAGTGTGCTGGTTTGAAAGCAAACCGGTGAGAGACTCCGAGTCAGAAGTACAATTTAATATGAACAACACAACAAACCAACAACAAATGCAACAGTACAAAAAAACCCCAGAAGAAAACCACTGACAGTGTCAGAAAGTAACCTGACACCCTGTCAGTCAGGGTGTAGTAGTAGTCCGATGAAATGGTGCTGCAGTCCTCCTGGAGCGATGGGTTTGTTGGGGCAGTGATCCCGCAGATTGCTCCTCTCCTGAAGGTCCAGCAGCAGCTCTTGTCCTCTGGGAATCCAGCAGGTAATGGGCTCCTGTGCTGGTCCAAACCCCAGTTTATATCCCTGTGAGCATGTTTGGCTCCCCACCCCTGGGGTGAGGCACCGCACTATGGGACGATGTAATTCTGTGTGTCATGCCTGGGTCCCTGGCAGCCCATTAAACAGAGACAGCCCCTGAGGGAGCCATCGGGGACCAGAAGGAGATAAAGATCACTGCCCCACCGGGTTTAACAGCTTGTGGAGGCCACAAAAGAATAAATTCCTTGGCTACCCCCACACTGCAACCCAGGACAGATAGTTTTAGTTTCTCTGCAATATTCTAGATGTTTGGGCTGTAGATGTGCTGTCTGTTTGCAGAGACATCTGGTGCCATTTTTTTATGCAGTACATGGGAAAGGGTACTGTGCCTTCATAGAGCTGGATGAACTCTTTCATATTCCTAAAGTGTTTTTCTGGATGTATACAGTTCTCTCTGGGATCAGTGGGAGATATGTGTATATGAAAGAATTTTGAACACAGCATGAAGGGTGAAAGGTTGCTTGGAATTCTGAGTGAAGCATGTGATAAATCAACAGAAAAAGAACATGTAATAGTCCAAACACTAGAACAACAGTTAACTCCAAATGTAAGATTCATGTTCCGTGGGTGGAGCTAAAATGATGCCCACTGAAAATGCTGTACCTACAGCATTGTGCTAGCTGCATTGTACAGACTTTTAAGTGTTTATGGTTTAAAGAGGCAGGACAGAGCAATTATGAGAGGATCTTCTATTACCTCAGTTTAGGAACTGGGATATGAAATGACTACAGCCATGATCCTTGTAGATATCTGCATATATGTGCAATGTGGTTGCAGATTTACTTTGACACAGTAGCCTGTGTATGTATTTATGTCTTGTTGCAGGATGTTGGTCAGTGTTTGCTCAGAGATACAGAGGCAGTTCCCAGCTCTGCTGCAGGGCTCAGATATTGCAATCTTTCAGGCCAACATCTTCATTGCAGTATCTTGACTTACTATCAATATGAGGTTTACAATAATGTCTCACAGATTTGTTTATTCTTAATGCATGATGAAATCATTGGCATTTCTGCGTGTAAAAATCTTGAAGGAATATCCATCGTGTCAATCATAAAATGGACAATCCTTCCTTATTCCAAAATAAGAAAGAATAAGGTTGCCCAGTGGGTATCTTTGAGTTCCACAAATCAACAACTCATTGAAATCTTGAGAAGTTTCTTCCCTCCACCTCCTCCAGTCCCACTCTGCTCCCTCTCTGTGGTTACCTTCAGTTTAACAACAGTACAGAGGCATTAAAAAAACACATCGCCCATTTTCTTTATCCTAACAATACCTCTCCTTTGTAAGACTTCTCTGGATAGTTTGGGAGCAGTCAGCATCCAGGACTTGCATATTGCTTGTAGAGCTGGATTGAACTAGTCACAGTGAATCAGCTGGATTGCTCATTGTTGATTTCTTTACTTTTTAAAGCACCCTTAGGCCAGCTCTTTATCCTTTTGACAACTTTTGCTTTGACACTAAGATAATCATTGCTTTTCACTCCTGAGCTGGTTTATGTCCTCAATGCTTTCAGCTAGAGTTTTAAAGTAGTAAAGTGCATATTGTAGTGTTGAAGCTTTGGAGTTCATGACCCTTTTTAAGTAAATGGCTCACTGGTGTCTGGTGGTGTGCTGGATATTTTAATTTTGTCTTTACAACGGATGAATTTCAGAGGAAAGAGAATATAATATCAGCTCTGTTTTCAGCCTATGAATGAAATAAACCAACATTTTCTAAATAAAAATCTGCAGAAGAGATAGTGCACTACAAAATTTTTGCAAATTTATGTTGATGGGCCGAATATTTATTGTTACTTACTCTCCTGCTTACATTATACTCCTGTTTACTTTTACTGTGACTTTCACTTAAAAGTTAACTTTCACTTCAGTTGTCTTCTCTTTCCTCTTCTGTAAAACTATAGAATTTTTCACGTAGATAAAATTCAACCCACTTGCCTGTTTGGTTTTCCAGCACACGGTGTTTTGAGAATGCATAGCCTCCAACAGTGTCTCCTGAAATGTGTTTAGGAGCTACAGCAGCTATTACATGTTAGTATAGAGGATCTGTTTTGTCTTTCTGCCATTTCAGCCCCACTCAGCTGATAGTGAATGGGACTAAATGTACACACTTGTCTTTGTCCTCATTGATTACTTTTGTTGGTTTTAATCTTCTGCAAATTCCAATCTTACCCATTTATGTGATACAGTAATATTTCTGTAGTGGGAGAATTAACAACTTTGAATTGCAGTGCTGTATGGGGTCCCTGACTTTCTTGTACAGTTTCTTATGGTTCTGAAATTCTGTTATTGTTCCTCTGTACTGTGTTAGGGACCATATATTTCTGCGTGAGTCAGTCTCTCGGTGCTAAAAACTGGGAAAGGTAAAGTTTAATTTGCCCCTAAATACTTATCTTTCCTTTCTAATATCTCACATAGCATCATTTTTTTGGTAGATCTAAAATGTTGTTTCTTCCAGGCATACTAATATTTGTGAAATACCTAGAGAAGCACAGCATACTTACAGTTTATTTATTCTTTTATTCCATCTGTTCTCTTACTTACTTAGCTACTGTTACAAGTATTATAATTAATATTATAATAATTAAATGTTAGAATGGGTATTAATCTGAGGATTATAGTAAGTAATATAAAAGTGATTCACATTTATTCTCAATGGAGTCTAAGTCCCATTGGAGGTAAATTGCAACTCTTCTGATGACATTAGTGAAGCCGTGGTTGTGAACAGTCACATAAATGTGACCTGCAGATCAGTTTGCAGTATAGTTAAATTCTTTTCCCCTGAAAAAAACACCTTCTTTCTTACTAAAAGTATATCTGATATTACGGGTATCAAATTCTAGCAAGTAAAGTTTCTCAACAGTGCTTCAAGACATAATAACCTGAGTTGTGCTTTTGATTTTATCACAGTTGTTTCCTCTGCCTCTGATTTATGTTGGAAACCACATAAGTGGATTAGCAAGTACCGGCAAACTCAGGTACAGTAAATGGAAGTTTTAAGTAGGCTGTTTGGATTTTACCCTTTTATCTTGTGGGGTAAAAAATAAAGACTGAAGAAGGGCATTGTTGAGGGTCTTAAATGCATGTGGTGTCCGTCTGTCTGTCTAAACCCGGTACTGTTAGGAAATTCTCACCCAAACATTCATTCTGCTTGCAAGTTTTCTTCCTCTTTTAAGGGGGACTTAGCCAGGCCTGTGCTGACATAAAGTCACAATACTCCTATGTGGCCATGAAAGTGTTTTCACTCACCTCTCACACCCAAGGTTTTCCTGGGTGTCCTAATCAGGGCGTTTGGGAACAGTAAGATGTTTCTCAAGGAAGATGCACAGGGGAAAGATTTATACCAAGATGTCATTGCAGGAATTTATGAATCACCAAGAGATGGAAAAACTACTGAGTATTGGGGTGGTGGTGGCTGCCTAGCCCTGCTGAGTACCAGAGGCAGGTTGTGGAGGAGTTGCTGAAGTCAGTTTCTGACTCCTGTGTGTCTGTAAGCATAGATCCATGGGAGTTACTTCCATATTAGTGCTAAAAAAGGTGTAAATTATGTAGAAGAGGTGCTGTAATAGATTGAACAACCAGATTTTCTGTGGAAGAAGAGTGTAGGAGCATGATGGCTGCACCAGGACTGGAGGATACAGCACTACCATTATAGTGGGTTTTTATATGCTCTTTCAGGCTCCTGAGGATTTGGTGGTAGGCTAAACCAAAACAGAGAATTTGCAGGTGTTTTTTTGCATTTCGTAACTGTGAGAGAGATACTATGAAAGAAAATTTATTGCTTTTCATTTGTTTACATTTCTTTATAGAATTAATTTTCTCTAGCTAGCAACCTTAGACACCTGGTTCTGCAATTCATTGTAAGCATTCAGAAGTTGTTCCACTGAAGTGACTGTTTGTGCAGACATAAGACTTAGGCAGTACTGTCCCTAGTAGCACTTCAGCCATTGTGAATATGAAAGTAGTGTCAATCCTTTCCCTTTTCCCTTACTGTGATTTTAAATGTTTAGTAGGATATTTTAAGTGCACCCTTCCCTCTTCTGCGGCTGATATACCTCTCAGATTTACTATTCATAACTAATTTTATAACAGAAAAATAAAAATAGCTGCACTGTTTCCACCATTAACATTTTGTTACATTGCATTTTGTTCCCATGTGTGACATTTGCTTGCATTACAGAATTCTTCACCTTGTTTGGGTTGTCTGGAAGGTGTAGATGGTCCTATACCTATCTTCAAAAAGTCTGTTGTAAAGTGATTAAACTCTGTGTTAGGATTTGTATCATCATTAATGGAGTTGGTAATAGCTATCTTAAGCAGAGGATATGGCCGTGCTATCAGATTTCCAGTGTGTCGGGTGGACGTGTGTGCTGGTTTGAAAGCAAACCGGTGAGAGACTCCGAGTCAGAAGTACAATTTAATATGAACAACACAACAAAACAGCAACAAATGCAACAGTACAAAAAAAACCCCCAGAAGATGAGATGCAATTCTATGTGTCATGCATGGGTCCTTGACAGCCCGTTTAACAGAGACAACCCCTGAGGGAGCCATCAGGGACAAGGCAATAAGGATCACTGCCCCACCTGCTTTAACAGCTTGTGGAGACCACAACAGAATACATACCATTGGCTACCCCCACACTGCAACCAGGACAAGGTGTTTTCTCGATCATAAAGGTTTCCAACTGCATTACTTCCTGAAGATCAACAATGTGTTCCAAAGTAGCTGTTTGTTTGGTAGTTGCAGCTGGCCCCACCTTTCATGTTTCTTGTAGTTTCTCTGACTTTTATCATGGGTTCATTTTACTTTTTTAAGAGTACAGCTTGTTTACTAAGCATGTTTGCTTTTAATTTTATTTCTGTTAGATGTTTTCAGAGACAAGTTTGTTGTGTGACCTCTTAAGGTTACAATAGAAATAATTTGTACTTAACCCTGCCCATGAATTTTTCAGAAAGAATTATTTAATAGGGGCTATGCTAGGTAGAAAATACCTGTTATTTTCCATTTCACTCTATGCAGAAGGAGCTTTAGCAGGTAGCCAGTTGCATTGGTTTGCCAACTGGCAAAGCTTGCTATTTTTCAATTATTTGGTTATCTAATCTGCACCTAATATCAGATTGACATTTTTATGTATATGCTAAGTGACTGGATATTTGTTTTGATTGCCTATTGCTGTGCTAATGGTTTCATCCTCTGGTTAGTAAAATAAGAATTAGAAGATAAGAATGCTGCTAATCTGACACTATGCTTGGATTTTTATTTTGTTTTTTTTAACAGTTTGCCGATGTTTACAGTGCTCAGGAAGTTTACCATTCCACTTACTTTACTGCTGGAAATCATCATACTTGGGTGATCCTTTTTTTTTTTTTGTTTCATTTAAAATACTTTTATTTTAGATCATATCAAATAGATTACTTGTGACATCTCATCAGAATATTGAATGAGTGATTTTTACTGACAAACAGAAAAGCAAAGAAAGAAAGTGATTTTCTGAAGACATGGATACATGCATTTTAGTGAATACAGAAAAATAATTCAACTTGCTTTTACTTACACATTCTCTTGACTGTTGCACAGGAGTCAGGTAAGCAGACACAACTCAGACACTTTCAGTGGTTATGGCTTGTGTCTCATCTTGGAGGCCCCTAAGCTGCCAACTGCTTCAAACAGATCCTCACATCTCAAAACAATGATGGTAGTATGGCACTCTGCTTATGTAGAGCAGTTTTCTGGGTCACGTCTGAGAACATGCCTGTCTGGTGAAGCAAAATGGTATCTAACACTGTGCTGGTACTTACAGACCCCCTGTGTTATCTTTAAAGAGAAATTGGGGAGTGTATGCTAGCAGCTCGGGAACACTAGTTTCAGTTGTAGTGAGTTGGAAGAGCAGGAATATAAATGCATCACCTCGTCTAGAACTTGATAGTTCTATCCACATGGCTGGTGCTCAATTAAGATGAAAGCACAAGGGAAAAACAGCTTTCTGAAGCTGAACCCAGGAAACACAAGGGTGATGGTCAGAGGAAAGGCTTTTCAAAAAAGCCCCCAAGCAGACTGTCATCTCCTTTTGGCTGAAGCAGCAGTTGATCAACGTGATTCATGTTCAGGGATGCTCTGGGATTCTTGGGTAGTTTTAAGTTCTCACAGGGAAAGCAGAACTTGCTGTCTTCTCCTGTTGGCCTGAAGACTCCCATAAGCAAGTGAAAAAATTGTGAGTCAGTGAGAGTCATCCGTGCTCAGCTGGACTACAGCAGTGTGGTCTGTGCGTGCAAGCAATATCCTTACCCTAAGGGAAGCTTAGGAGCAGAATGCTGTTTTCGTGCAGACTGACAGAGAGTATTTCTTCATGGCTGAAAATGAGGGACTTACATCAGGATCTGAAAAACAGTCAAGGTTGTTATTGTTCAGTGTCATTATGATCAAAGCCAAATATATCTAGAGTCTGCGTACAGCTTTGTTGTTGGCATAGTGGTCCACAGCTGTTCTCCTTTGACACAGGATTTCTCCAAGAGCATTGTATGTTTTTTTTGGTGGATCTTTTCTGTCAGGCTAGCTCAGAGGTGCAGACTAGCCAGAGAGAATAAGGAGTAGGGGGTGTGTCTGTAAGGCACATTGCAGTATGGTGTAAAAATAAGTACTTAAGACATTTCTCAATAAAGTAATGTAGATATAAGATGCAGAATAGTTTTTTTGGAATGCTTTTCACTACTCTGTGACAGTGCTGATTTGGTAGTGAAGTATATCATAAGGTTCATGCTTTCCTTTTCAAGTGCAAAGGTTCAGTTTGACTTCAAAATAAGTACCCATTTGAAACAATAGTCCAGATAGTGTGCTGTATGGCATCTTCCCCAAAAAAGGGGGATATGAAAAGTCTACATGAGACATATGTAGTGATTTTCCTTCATTGGAAAATCACTGGAAGACAGTGAAATATGACCCCTTATGAATACCAATACACATTAAATTAGTTTGTTCCAGTGCTGTTACTTTAAACCTTTAATCTTTACTTTCCTATCTAGCAGCAGGGTGCTCACAGTGCTTTTTCAATCTCTGTTCTCAGGGCCAAGGTCTGACAGCGTGGCACATGGTCAATCATATTGCTTCTGTAAGGTTATCAAGACTTTGCCTTCCTGTTACATGTTCTGTGATTACTAATTGCTTTGAAAATTTTCAGGCAGACAGCCATTTAATCTCCTCTTCAGATAATGAAAATGTGAACTGTTTTAATTTTTGCCCACAGGAAACGGTACCCACTGAGTATTATAGTCAGCGTATTTGCCATCATTCTCGGGGCATTCATAGCTGCTGGGTAAGGTTTTAATTTGTTACACAAAACCATGTTATGAGGGGAGGGAACACAGGAGGATTTTTTTCCTTGCTTAGTTCCAAGTAAATCTAAGTTGAGATCAGTTTCCCTGGATTAAGCTGATTTGGAAAATATCACTATTGACATCATTGGGAGGTATAGGAATACAAAGGAAAAAAATAATTTCCTGCTGGAAGTATTTGGGTGCTTCTATTTCCACCTTTATTTTTTTTCTGTGTTTTCAGGATCATAAATGAAGCAAGTTAAAACTCTGTGAGGAACGTTGCTTTTATTTCATAGTATCTGTGCATTTTCATATTCTTAGAAAAATATATTCTTGTTCTGTGTAGAAAGACTGATTTTTTGGTCGCCAAATACTGGGTTAGACAATGTCTGTTTTTTAACATACGTTGAATGGGTTCAGTTGTGAGATTAAGTTCACAAAGCAGTTGTATGCTATTTTCCTCTGTTTTCTTTATGTTCGAATATTCCTTTACCTAATTGAAAATGTAATGTTATTTATTTGTTTCCTGACTTTGCTATGTGCAAAGAAAAATAATTTCCATGTGATGTGACTCAGATAGAGCTATGCCCTATTAAATTATTTACTCTATATCCATGAGGTAACTGGTCAAAACAGAAATGATGACAATATGTCTGGTCTGACTGTGTAAAACAGTCAAACTTTATTCCCTAGCTACTTTTTGTGTTAAAAGAAATAGGTAAGTCTACTGAGTAATAACTGGACAGGTTGTCAGGATTGAGACGTGTGGAATTTTTCACAGAATGAAATCTGAACATTTCCTGCCACTTCCACACTAAGTACTAGAAACTTTCTAATGTCCCATTTGTGATGGTCCAGTGACTGGAGACATGTAAAGTACTTTGACATACAGAGAAGCCTTGATGCAAAACCTGTGACTTGCTGAAGGTCTCAGGTTTTGCATATACTCATTTATGATATTCCTCTAAGTAAACAAGGTAATGCAATGCATTCTGTACTATTTTCTTATTTACAACACAGTATTTCTTTCCCAGGTCTGATCTGTCTTTTAATCTGGAGGGCTACACCTTTGTGTTGCTAAATGATATCTTCACAGCAGCAAATGGAGTTTACACAAAGCAGAAAATCGATCCAAAGGTAACTCTGGGGTGATCAGATTGAATCATGATCATAATGACAACATGATAACATTGGGCTACTTATTGTGTGACTTTTATGTACATACAGTTATGAACTAATAAATAGTTTCACTCACTTTCACATTTCAGTTGATTTATGCATCCTGAATACAGACCAGCCTGGGGCCTGGGAAAAATTGTTATTTGTGTCTCTCTGGCCAGGCTTAGGTAAACAAATGGTGCATTTTATTTTCTCTCAAGTCTTTTGGGCAGAGTTTGTAGAGACTTTAAAACCTTGCTTTAGGCAAAAATACAAAATAAATGCAAACCATAAGCAAATCATTTACCTGTAAACTTGTTATATATTTATGTAAGGAAAATGACTTTCTGACTAGAAACATACTTTAAGTGAGGTTTTTGTAAAGTCAGCATGTGGGTAGGAACAAAGACATGTCCGCTCTGAGTCAATAACCACAATAACTGTTGTCTCTTTTGGTTATATAAAAGCAAGTCTACACCAAAATCAAGTATGGCAACAAATTAGGTGATACCTTGATACATATTATCTTATGTAAATATTGAGCAGGCTGCTTTTCAAATGCAGTGCCGTGAAACATTCCAAGACATAGCAAAGAGCAGTCTCGGAGGTGCTGGATAGAGGTTTTGTCACTGACTTCACTCTGTACAGTATAACTTTTAATAATCTTTGTTGTCATATTGATTCCAGACTCTGTGGGGTTTTTTTATGATCAGCACTTAACAGCCTCACAGTTTCCTGAAAAATGCAGGGTTCCATAGGAAAGCAAGAGGTAGTGTGGAGAGATTTGCTAAGTAGCATGGCTGAATCTAGAGGACTGGCAGACTGCTTTATCATTCTCCTAATCTTCTGCCTTTGTGTCACAAGTTAACCAATGGGGTATATGGCATTCCTTCAGTTGCTTGAAGTTACATCAATTACCAGTGATTACGTAGCTCCATCTAGGAGTCAGACTTCATTCATCTTCCTGTTCATGTGTTTTCATGGTTGATTTGTGGTAGATGGAATGGGTAATCCCTTGGCCAGGCAAAGGCTTAGGTGGAGTCTAAGACAATGCAGTTCTGGACCAGTGCCTCAGGAGGTTTCTGACTAGCCGATGTTGTATAGAAACTGTCCAAGGTATAGCAAGAGCAGCGATGTTCTGCTGAGTGTACAAAGTGACTGAAGTGGAAATTCATTTTAGTACAAAACGCTGAATCCAAGAATCACAAGGTTCTACTTTAAACTGAAATGTATTATGTTCTGTCTGCTCATTGACAATAGTGTCAGGATTGCCAGAGTAATATGTAGTATTTTGCTTTTAAATGGCTTTTAATTCCAAACACCATGTTTCACAGGAGTTGGGAAAATATGGTGTCCTGTTCTACAATGCTTGTTTCATGGTGATTCCAACAGTTATTATTAGCATTTTTACTGAAGACTTTCAGCAGGTAAGTAGCAGTATTGCATACGTCAGACTGGTAATGCTATTTTGTTCATTTTTTTTCAGTTGGGCAGGGGGCAAGGGTTGTTTTTTTTTTGTTTCTAAAGAGGTAATCCTACCTCTGTGTTAGTGATTAGTGTTTGAAAAGTGTGAGTTGGACTTGTCCTTCACAGGTAAGAACTTGTGATTATTCACTTAAGGAGAGGCTGAATATGTATGATGGTCCTTATATGAGTCTTTGTTTAAGAACTAAAGTATGACGGGGGACTCTCAGCTAGAGCAATTGTTTGGGAGTCCAGCTGCACAGTCCATGCTCTAAAATGAGATTGCAGATACCAAAACCACACAGTTTCCAATCCTTCTCTCATTCTGATTTGCAGAACAGGTTTCTGTTTAGTCTCAGCCTGGTAACTTGAATTTTGCATTCTCATAGAATGAGAGCAAGACTCTCCATAGATAATCCTAGTACAGAATAATACTGTAGGCAGTATGTCCTGACATGTAAAGTATCAGATCAGAAGGTTTGTGTTATCTGGCTCCCTCACAGACTTGCTGAGTTGCCTCTTTCTTAACAGGAAAATTAATCTAGTCACTCTCATTCCTTTTTGGAAATGTTTGGGATTTGCCACTGAAAATTGTTACAGAGCTTGGAGGGTATCTTAAATCATTTCGGTGTTCTTTGTTGTTTATTGTTGTGCCCTGAACTCACATGAGTTTGTCATTGTGTTCTTAGAAGTCTGCTTTAAGTGGAAAAGTTATCATTCCCTGAAAGTGATGGATTTAGGTGTGCTGTGAATGTGAAATCTCTTTTGTGACATCAGTCCAGCATGACCTTATGCCCATTTAGGAATATGCAGCTGCTTCCCCTCTTGAGGAAGGGGCTCAAGTTTGTATATCTGTAAGGCTGCAGCTGCTTTCCCAGCACATACTGTTGGAGGCATTTTGGGAGACCTGGACAGGGAAGTTTATCTTGTTGCTAGGCTTACTGGATGGGAAAAAAAGAGTGTGTTTTGCCTCGGCTGATTTGACGCAAACAACTTAATGCTCAATTACCTGAAAAGAATAGAAATATATCAGAGAAATGCATAGTGCCTATTGTGCATCCTATTGACTTGATCACTTAATAATAGAAGTGATTAAGTTAGTTAAGTAATGTGGATAACTGGTGTCAGTGTGATGCACAGAAATTAAACCACAGGGGAAAAAAAGGGAGAAAATGGAAACATAGATGAAAAGTCAGCAAATGACTATAGATAACACCTGTATTTAGAAGATTTTCAGGCCAACTTTTACGCTAGCAGAGCTTTTTTCCTTGATCCATCACAGACAATGCACTGCATGTATCTTTTGCCCGTCAAAACAAGAGTACCATGTCTGTGTGATAGGGAAATTACTTCTGCTCCTCTAGCTGGTTCTGGAATGGTAGCTGCCATATCTTGTAGAGGTTTCAGTTTGTGAGTGTCCCAGTTGCTCATTTCTCCTTCACCAGCTGGCTGACTATGAGGACAGCAAAGCATGAAGCAATATAAGAGAAAGGAAGACCCAGAATGTCTCTCTATAATACTCTGCAGTTTGTTGTGGTACACCAGCACAATTTTAGCAGGGTAGAACTGCTTAAGATCCCTCTTACCCATTACCTCAGGTCGTGAAGGCTCAGCTAGCCACAGCTCAACAGGAACTAACAGCCTTTAACCTGTTTCTCAGGGATGTGTTCAGCCTGTGATGAATTTTGTGCTTTTACAGGTGACTTTAAACTAACCAGATTAAAACAAGGCATATCCTGGAGTTACTAGAGGTGTAAAAGAATCTGTGACATGTTTCTTAGTGACTGTTGTGTGGCTCCGTGTATGTCTTTGCTGCACGTCACCAATGAGGACACTTCAAAGTGATGATTGAGTCTTTTCATTGACCTTCATTGATGAGAGACCTTAGTAATGCTCAAAAATGAAGGCTTGGGCATTGAAAGCTGCTCATGAATGAATATGTGATGTGAAATAGATGTTGAGGAAATTATTTATTTGCTGTTTCTGTCTGTCTAATATCACTACCATTCATTATACATTATTCATCATAGTGTTGGTATCTGTATTAGTAAATATAAAAACAGAACTTTTCTGTATTGCATTTATGTTTTTTGCTTACAGTGTGCAGTCATGTATCTGCACTGCTATACGTGTTACAAGAATGTGTTTAGGTACCATGGGTGCTGTCATCCTGTTGTCTCCAAACTCAGATGCATCACACTGTTTCCAGTAGTAATATGTTTCATAATTTTAGTATGAATGAAATGTATTTTATGAATTTGCACATTTTCATATTAGCTACACTTTCTATGTGTTTACAGTTGATTATATAGCAGATAATTCTTTCTTCTTTTTTTTATAGGCAACACGTTTCCAGCACTGGACAAATTTTTTATTTGTCTTTCAATTTATTCTTTCCTGCTTTTTGGGGTAAGGACAGAGGGGAATCAAGGAAGATGTTTTAATGACAGTGTTTCAAATTGCAAATCTCAAATGTAAGACTCGCTAATAAGTTATGATAAAGTTCAAAGGAAATATTTTCCCCCCAGGCTTCTTTCTTGTCTTTTAATGATTTCTAATGGTGTAAGTAACTGTTTCAGGACTATTTGTGTTGTTGGCCTAACAGCACAGTGCTTAACAACATGGTGTTTAGCACTGTGCTTTCTGTACTCAGTATCTTTCTTCTGTCTTTCTCTTCTGATCATCTTAACTTTTTTGCAGTGAATAGCAAGCAAGTCCAGTTATAGGAACTGTTTCAGTGAGTTTGTTCTTTAAAATAGTTGGAAAACTATGGGAGACTCAAAAGCAATGAAACAATCCTTTGTTCATGTTGGAACTGCAGAGTCAAATGAAGAACAAAAGAATGAGTTGGATCCTGTTCTGCTCTTCCACATGTCACCAGCTAAGGGGTCAAACTAACTTCAAATACTGAGATTTAAAAAACACAGAGAAAAGGGGTGATGCTGCTAGAGCTCAAGCAGCATGTTAAAACATGTATTTTGAGTATTCCATATATTCACATCATTGATTTAAAATACAGATACACAGAATTTTGTTAGGGTTTGAAACAGTTGTAACAGAAGATCCCAGCAAAACACTGATTCAGAAAATGTTGAACATCTCAAAGTGTTGCTAAACTTCTGAACTCCCTGGGAGGAAGTTATAAGTTTTTCTTCTTTATTTAGGTTTCTCTTGATGTATTCTACTGTCCTATGCAGTCATTACAATTCTGCGCTCACAACAACAGTAGTTGGTGCCATTAAGGTGAGTTATGGAGCAGAAGAGGGAAATGAGAGTGCTCACATAGACAGGGAAGAGCATTGACTCAGCAGTGATCCTGGTTGTACTTTTGAGATCAAAACTGAAAACCAGGGCGAATACTGAGACAGTGCTTGTGCCAAACAAAGTCACACCACAAAGTGACCTTGTTCTCTTCCATTGAAGCTCAGATATGCTCTAGAAAGCAATGTTAGTATTGATTTATTTTTATTTTTCCTACAAGAGAAACTTGAACCACTTTAATTAAAAGATGTACATTTAGCCACATTCCATCAGGTCCTATCACCTGCTTCTGTTCTTGATTAGGTTACTGTGTGTTAGTCAAGGTAGCCTGCTGCAAATCCAGGTGAACTGGTACAAACTAACCCACTATTACACTGGGCTAAACTAGTTTCTGTTGCAGCTGATAGATAGGACATTCATAGAAACAAAATAATGGCTAAGCTGAAGTAAGGAATGTATTGCTTTTATGTGTATGCCTGTGTGTGAGAACGTGTGTTCTAGCTGAACGGATTGTTTCATTTTGATTTGTACAAATTCTAGTGAATTTGATCAACACCAAAATATCCATGTCTTAAAAATTGAACTTGGTGTCCTTACAGTCTGTTTCTCTAGCTCAGTTTAATTTTAAACCAGAGCAACTTCCTCTGTGTTGATGAAGCCAGCATGTCTGAGCTGGGAACATCACTGACTGCCCATGCACCTTTTTGTAGGCCAGTTTGCAGAGAAGCACAGAGCTGTAAAGCTGAAAGAGCTTTAGTGAAAGACAAAACTTACGCAGCCGTGGGCCAAACAGTATCAGAATCCACATTAGCTCAGGGACAGGAATAACAGTCCTCCAGGTGCTCCCTTGCATGGGTGACTAAGGAAAACAATACATCCAGCACAGCAAAATCTGCAAAAGGAGGATGATACTTCTCTTTCTACGTTTCTTCTTTCTTTTGAAAGCTGGCAAGATTAATCTAATAGCTTTCAACCTGTGACCCTGAAAGGAATTTTTTACATTTTATATGTCTGCATCAAACCATTAAGTCAGAGCAACACTGTTTCTATTTTCTGAGCAATAATAATCTTTGAGACACTTAGAGCAGCTTTAAAGTTGAGGAGCACTTTATGATACACCAGTCTCCAGTAGAGACTGGTAGAAATGGTGATGTTGTCCCAGCAGCTGCTGAAACATTTGAAAGCATTAAAGTGTTGGTAAAATGATCACACAGTTCTGTAGCTTTCCTTCTGTCTTTAGGGGACAGTTTTTTTCCAAAACTTGATGGGGGCAGGTGAGAGGTAGAATCTTGAGCTTTAAACTGTGCCTGTCTTGAACTTGTGCCAAGTGCTTTCAGTGCACATTTAGTTGGCAAAGTAAGGAGGTAACCCTTTTAAAGCAATAATGAAGAGCTTTTATAGTAACTTTAAAGCATCCTTTTTATTCCTGAGAGCCCAAAACCTGCTTATAAGAAACAAGATCTGAAAGGAGCCTTCCAAAGATTATAAAGAAGTACATTTCAAAAGGTGGCTATAGCTCCATTTTGCCTAATATTAAGTAACTGTTTTTCTTCTTTTTTTCCCCCAGAAAGTCACTCTCAGTCCATCACATGCATTTAGAAAACATACTGATCTTATTATTCTATTTCATTGCTACCTTTTCCACAAGGATGACATCCTGTGAAACTTACTTAAATACTGATTTTAGAGTGGTCAGCAACAGAGTATATCTATTTCCTTAGAAAAGTAAATTAGTTGATATCAAGCATATTCTTGGAGATGAAACATGGCTTAAATAAATGCATGACTTTTGTTTCCTTTCAGAATATATCCATTGCTTACATCGGAATGTTGATTGGTGGAGATTACATATTCTCTATGTTAAACTTCATAGGGCTAAATATTTGGTGAGTGAAACTCAAATACCTTTATTTGTTAAAGATGAAAATGTCTCAGCGCTATACAGTTTTATGTTTTATTTGATTTGGCCTGTTTGAGCAATGCAGTTTTGAAACTACTGATGAAGCACTGCCTCAGGATGTAAAGTTCATTACAGCTACTTATGCCTTTTCATGTCTGTTTTCAGATATTTAATCTTACTGTGGTAGGGTCTTAACTGTGGAAACATGCTTGCAGTTTTACTATGTGGGATTGACTTGATTCTTTTTCATGAGCAGCAGTTCTGAGCTGTGAGGCTTCCGAGTAAAAGCACCAAGTGGTGTGGGAAGTGAGAATACTAACTGAGTTGTGCCTATTGAATATATGTAACTTCTAACTTGTGAGTTGTTACTTTTTGTTCCTGGTTGAACTGTTACATCTGTTTGTATGAATCTTTGTGAACAACTGATAATTGATCTTTGTCTGATTAGGGCTGATTTCTCAGATGGCTTACGTAGCTCTGAGGCACTCCTAACTTTTGATAGCTGGTGTTCTTTAATCCTCTGAAAGGAAAGGTACATACCTATGAAGTGGCATCTATAACACCAGATATCTCTGACACCACTGTTCATTTTCTTTTCTCTAGTATGGCAGGAGGACTGAGATACTCATTTTTAACATTAAGAGGAAGCAGCAAACCTGCACAAACTGGGGATGAAGAGAATGCACTTCCTGTGTTGAAGAGTTAGCCAATGTGCCTGCCTTGAAAGAGACTGAAGATGCAAGTTTGCTTAGCATTGCCTAGACTTAAATAACTTTATGCTGGAACATATTTGGAACAAGAAAAAAAAATCTACCTCAGTTGTCACAGATGTGCACACAATCCATTGGCTCAGAAGTATTTCTTGCACCCCCTGTTTTTTATATGTAGACTAATTTAATTTTAGCATTTCTATTTTTTACACCACAAGCCAAGCCATGGGAAAAAATGCTATGACAAGTCTCAAGTTGTAAATTTCTGCATTTGCCTGTACTTAGGTGCTATTTGCACTCAACAAGATCTGTGAGTTCTGTTTCAGTGTCTGCTAGTAGTCTCTCGAGGCAGAACTCCCTGTAAAGATCATGAGGCTTGATTCACCATTGCCTTATGCCATATGCAATCTTTGATAACAGTGAAGAGAAGAAAGAATCTAGTGGTTCAGATTGACTTCATGTATGCATTTGCTGCTATGTAAGTATACAAAACATACGCAGGAAAGTCGATATGTGCCCCCTCATTGTTCCCTTTATAAGCATTGACTGAAAAATTCAGCATATGTCCGAGTATGTTCAGTGTACATTGTGTCAACATTCTCAACATTCCTCTCATCCTCTATAACACCGTGTGTTCTGCTGCAGTTGGTACTGTTGTTATAAGTGAACCCTCATAACTTTGCAGCAGGATCAAGGAGAGCAGGAAAAAGACAGGGGATTTTTTAATATTTAAAGACTTTTTATGTATGTGCGTGAGCCAGTACCAACGAAGGTAAATCTATTTTTGTTTAGGTATATTTATCTTCTTATAACACAGTCTGACGTTTTGTCCATGACTACCTTGCTGCAGAGACATGATGCTACGAGGGAAGGGAAACTGACTGATAGTATGGAAGACTAACTTGTGTTTAAATGAGGAGAAAGTCTCGGTGTCCTGTTTTGTCTTACACAGTGAAAGCTCATCTGGTACAGGTTTATGCTTAAAATTCTGAGCAAAGAATTGAAAAAAGCCCTGGGGTTGCTGTAGTAGGTATGGCTGGTACAGCAGTTAAGAAAAAGAGGCCCAGACTGGTGGTCTGAGTTATCATTTGGGACAGTAAGGGCACTGCTCTGTATCTGATTTCCTTTTTTCAAAAATGCAGTTGATAATGCGTACCTATGTCTCTGAGGATGATGTGTTAACCTTTGAAAACATGATAGAAGCTTTGCAGTGCTGGAAGACAGCGAAGTAATTAATCTTGTTCTCAATTCTCTGCAAGCATGGGCCAAGAATTTTGAAAAGAATCAAATCAAAAGAACATTTTGCAAGACTTTGATGTGGAACCAGGGTGGTCTATTCACTTCTTTAATCCTCAGTTGAGTTAAAATGTAGCTAAATCTGAAAAGCACTGTGTAACACATTCTGTGTAACACATGAATGACCAGTCTGGATTAGATCTAAGAAGCATGTGGGTAGCTCGTGCCAAAAGCTTCAGGGACTGACTGAGCTGCCCACTCACTGCCTGCGTGGATTTGAATGGCAAGAGGAGCAGTGGCTGTGGATACTAGAACTGGAATTTAAGGGCACAGACAAAGTGAAAAGAGAAATGTGAACTATTCATTTCCCAGCAGCTGGCTAAGAGATGTCACTTTCATTTTCTATCTGTTGAAGAGCAGTGGAGGGAGAGGGTTGCTGCAAATATTTTAGAATGATCGTCTATTTTTAAAGATTTCTTTTATACTTAAAAAGCCATCAATATTTTTCAGTGTATTCTTTTATAAGACTCCTCCAGATCATCTCTACCTCTGCAAACCAAATTATGAACCTCAACTCTCTGCAGTGGGACAAAGCATTGTAAAGTTTTCATTATGAAATTATTATGATTGCCATGTGATTGCAATACTGACAAACACAAAGGGGCACCTGCGAAATGAGATGTAGTTCCCACAAGGGAACACCTGTGTGCATTTTGTTAATTAATATTTTGCTGTACCTTTTATAAATAAAAATATACAGATTACAGTTTTAATGAGGTTTTTGTTTTCTCTTTTTTCTGTGAATAGATGCACAAAATGCTCTCAAGCACATGCACAGCACAGATATTTACTCTCTATATGAGCAACTGCTATATAATACACTTGAAGTAGTTTCAGTGGTTCATTCTGTACCATAGTGGAAGTGATCTTATTTAACTTGTTCATATAATGTTTTTGAAGTGCTTCAGGCTTAGCCTTCTCAGCTAAAATCCACACCTGATTCTCATAGTCTTTATGATAGTATTACTCAGAATCATGTGAAAAATAAGTTTATCAATAATGAAACATAGGTACTATCTAGAAGGGTTTGAAAGTGCTTGAATCCTTTCACAAAGCAATTCAGCTTCAGTCACTTACTATTTTCCCCTTTACCTGCAGAGGTAATGTTGATTCCAGTACATTTACTCATTGAAACTCCCAAGAATATGGGCTCAACCAGGCCCACTGTATTTAGGCATTTACAGAAATGGCTATTTCATCCAGAACCTCAGTAATTATGTATTTCTGTTAATAAGATAGGAATTTAAAACATATTTTTGTTAGGATACATCTGTTAGATAACACTAACCTTACTTTTCTACAGATCTCATAAATGGAATTAAGGTTTTAAAAATGGCACTGGTACCACTGCAGGTGTCAGGGTGTATTTACAAGGGAACATACAAAGGAAAACTGTAACTGGACTAGAAAGGAATATTGTCCTCTACATTAATCTGTTCATACTCTTAATTTTATGGGGGTTTCTTAGCAGTAGCCTAGCTGTAGTGGAGTAAGATTAAAAGAATCACAGAATCAACCGGGTTGGAAGAGACCTCAAAGATCAAGTCCAACTCTACAAGAGAAAATGTGTTCACTCAAAGAACTTTCCATTCATACACTGTGTAAAGTTCTGGCAGTGATTGCTGTGGAAGTCAGGCAGTACTTCAGCAAAAAAACTTAGACTAGACTCCATGAACAATTCTTCACATTCTTAAGAATTTATGATTTTTCCTCTCAGCATCTTGAGTTAATTTAGTCATACTGGGCCCTGGAACTTCTCTAGACATGTCTGAGATGTGTAACCATCCCCAGGAAAAGAAAATGATGAGGGAACATGGAAGTGCAGAAGAGAAAACTGGCAGCTATGGAAGTTTGCTGTTTGACTCCATCATCAAATAGAAGGGATTTAAAAAATATTTATTTATTATATTAT